GTGGCTTATATATATATATATATATAAGATCAGGTTATCTGCAAATAGAGATCGTTTTATTAATTTCCTTATTTCCAGTCTGGATGCCTTTTATTTTTTCTTCCCAAAGCCTTGGTTAGAACTGCCAGTACCGTGTTGAATAAAAGAGATGTGATCTGAGGGTGAAAACTTGCAATTAGTAGCTAAATGAGTTCTGGAGATTTAATGCACAGTAAAGTCAATACAGACAATAATATCGTATTATAATCATTAAGCTTTCTAAGGAGACTAGGTCTTAATTATTCCCACCACAAAAGAGAAATGATCATTATGTGAGGTAAAAGAGGTGCTAACTATGACCACAGTGGCAATCATGTTACAATATATGAATGTATCAAATCAACATTTTATACATCTGAAATGAATACAATGTTATATGTCAAATATGTGTCAATTTCAAAACAAGTTGAATAGAAATGACAAGGGCAGGGATCCAGGTTTCATTCCTCATTCGGAGGGGAAGCTTAAATCTTTCACCATTAAGTATAATGCCAGTTGTGGGTTTTTCACAGATGTCCTTCGTCAGGTTGAGAAAGATGCCTTTAATTCTTAGTTTGTTGAGTGTTTTCATCATTCAGGGATGTGAATTTTGTCAAGTACTTTTTCTGCATCTATTCAGATGAATATGTGAGCTTTGTTTTTTATTCTATTGATACGATCTATTACATTGATTGAGTTTTGGATGTTAAAACAACCTTGTAACCCTGAAATGAATTTCACTTGGTCATGGTGTATAATCTCTTTTATATGTTGCTGGACTGGGTTTGCCACTATTTTGTTGAGGATGTCTGTTTCTAGTTTTATAAGTTATTCATCTTTAGTTTGCTTTACTTGCTATATTTTTGTCTGATCTCGGTGTCAGAGTAATACTGGCCTCATAGCATGAATTAGAAAGCGTTCCCTCTTCTATGTTTTGGAAAAGCTTGTGAAAGATTACTATTATTTCTTTTTAAAATATTTTTGTAGAACTCATCAGTGAAGGCTTTTCATCCTAAGCCTTTCTCTGTGAGTAGTTTTTAAATTACTAATTCAATTTCTTCTTAATACAGGTCTATTCAGATTTTTCTATTTCCTCTTGTGTCAGTTATAGTAGTCTGGCTTTTTAAATTTTTATTTATTTGTTTGTTTTTAAAGTAGGGCTCCATGCCCAACGTGGGGCTCGAAGTCACAACCCTGATATCAACAGTCGCACACTCCTTTAACTGAGCCAGCCAGGTGCCCTGGTTATGGTACTTTGTGTCTTTCTAGTAATTTGTCCATTTTATGTAAGTTATCTAATTTGTTGACACACAATTGTTCATAATATACACTTAGAATCCTTTTTATTTCTGCACGTTTGGTAGTAATGTCCTCTCTTTCAATTCTGTTTTCAGGAAATTGAATCTTCTCCCTTTTTTTTTTTTTTTTTTTTTTTGATTTTTGGTCAACCTAGCTAAATGTCCTTCAGGATTTTTTTTTTCCTAAATCTTTTTTTTTTAATTTTTTTAGTGTTTATTTATTTCTAGGAGAGAGAGAGACAGCGTGAGCAGGGGAGGGTCAGAGAGAGAGGGAGTCACAGACTGAAACAGGCTCCAGGCTCTGAGCTGGCAGTCAGCACAGAGCCCGACGCGGGGCTCGAACCCACGAACCGCGAGATCATGACCTAAGCGAAAGTCGGACGCTTAACCGACTAAGCCACCCAGGCGCCCCTCCTAAATCTTTTCAAAGAGCCTACTTTTGATTTCATTGATTTTTCTCTATTCTTTTTTATTCTCTAATTCATTAATTTTTGCTCTAATCTTTATAATTTCCTCCTAATTGCTGTGGGCTTAGTTTGTTCTTCTTTTCTAGTCTCCAAAGGTGGGAGGTTAGGTTATTGGTTTGAATCTTTCTTCTTTTTTCATGTAAGTGTTTACAGCTGTAAATTTTCCTCTAAACACTACATTAGCTGCATCCCATAAATTTTGGTATGTTGTGTTTACATGTTTATTCATCCTGAAGCCTTCTGTAATTTCTCTTTTGGTATCTTCATTGGCCCATTGTTTAAGAATGTGTTGTTTAAGGGGCCCCTGGGTGGCTCAGTCAGTTAAGCATCCGACTTTGGCCATGATCTCACGGTTCGTGGGTCCGAGCCCCGCATCGGGCTCTGTGCTGACAGCTAGCTCAGAGCCTGAAGCCTCCTTCTGATTCTGTGTCCCCCTGTCTCTCTGACCCTCCCCTGTTCACGCTGAGTTTCTCTCTCTCTCTCTCAGAAATAAATAAAACATTAAAAAGATTAAAAAAAAAAAAAAAAGAATGTGTTGTTTGGGGCGCCTGGCTGGCTCAGTCAAAGGAGACTGTGACTCTTGATCTCAGAGTTGTGAATTTGAGCCTCATAATGGGTGTAGAGATTACTTAAATAAATAATTTTTAAATAAATAAGTATATTTTAAAAAATAATGTGTTGTTTAGGGGCGCCTGGGTGGCTCAGTTGGTTAAGTGTCCGACATCAGCTCAGGTCATGATCTCCACATCATGCAAAGTTCGAGTCCCGCATCAGGCTCTGTGCTGTCAGCTCAGAGCCTGGAGCCTGTTTTGGATTTTGTGCCTCCCTCTCTCTCTGCCCCTCCCCTGTTCACCCTCTGTCTCTCTCTCTCTCAAATATAAACATTAAAAAACTTTTTAAAAATAGTGTGTTGTTTAATTTCCATACATTTGTGAGTTTCCTGATTCTTTTCTTGTCATTCATTTCTAATTTCACTTTATTGTGATCAGAGAACAGGCTTTGTATGGTTTCAATCCTTTTAAGTGTATTGAAGTTTGTTTTATTGCCTAATAGATGTTCTATCCTGAAGAATGTTCCATGTGCACTTGAGAAGAATGTGCATTCTGCCTTGTTTCGTGCAAGTGTTTTATATACATATCTGTTAGCTTTAGTTGGTTTATAGTGCGATTCAAGATTTCTATTTCCTTATGATCTTCTGCCTAGTTTTTCTATCAATTGTTATAATTGAGGTATTGAAGCCTTTGACTGTTGTTGAATTGTCTAATTTCTCTTTTCACTTATGTCAGTTTTTACTTCCTGTATTTGGGGCTCTCTAGGGGTATGTGTGTTAATACTTGGTATATGATCTTGGTGTATTGACTCTTTTATCAATATAAAATGTCCTTCTTAGTGTCTAGTACTAATTTTTGCCTTGGTGACTATTTTATCTGATATTAGCGGAGTCACTCCAGCTCTCTTATAGTTGCTAATTGCGTGATATGTATTTTTCCATCCTTTGACTTTTAATCTATTTGTATCTTTAAATATAAACTATGACTCCTCCTGTAGGCAACATATAGTTGGACCTTGTTTTCTCTTGTCCAGTCTCACATTCTCTGCCTCTTGATTATTGGATTGTTTAATCCATTCACTTTATTTTTCTTTTTTTAAGTAGGCTCTAGCCCCAACATGAGGCTCGAACTCACGACCCCGAGATCAAGAGTCACACGCTCTACTGACTGAGCCAGCCAGGCATCCCTAATCCATTCACCTTAACTTTCTATAGTTGGATTTACATTGTTACATCTTTTTCGTTTTCTATAAAATCTCATACCTTTTATATTCCTCTATTTCTCCTTTACTACTGTCTTTTGCATTGAATGACTTTTTTTAGGATAGCAATTTAATGCTTTATATAAAGATTTTTTATTTCGGTTTTTTAGCGATTTTCTTTGTGATTGCTCTGGGGTTGCTCATACACATCCAAACTTACCAGAATCCTCCTCACACGTACACTGACTTAATTTCAGCAACATATGGAAGTACTCCTATATAGCTCTATTCCCTCTTGCCCATTATGTGTTTAACTGTTATACATGTTACATTTATATATGTTACAAATCCAAGCATATAATGTTATAATCATTACTGCCTATACTTTTATATCTATTAAATAAGCTGAGAAAAGAAAAGACCAAGTATATATTGATAGTTTGTTATATTTGCCTTTTTACTTATCATTCCTAGTTGTCTTCATTTATTCTGTGGATTGGAGTCAACGATTGGTGTCATTTCCTTACTGCAATACAATGTGATCCCCCCTTTAACGTGTTTTGTGTTCCTGTTGTCAAATATGTGACATTTGTATAGGTTGTGGGCACAATGATACCATTACACACGTATTGTTTAAGACACTGGCTTTTTAAAAAAATCTTATTTTTAATAATGTTTTTTATTTCTTTTAGCAAGAGAGAGAGAGAAAGAATGCATGGGGGAGGGGCAGAGAGAGGGAGACAGAGGATCCAAGGTGGGTTCCCCGCTGCTGGCACAGAGCCCAATGTGGGACCTGAACTTATGAACCGTGAGATCATGACCTGAACTGAAGTCAGATGCCTAAATGACTGAGCCATCCAGGTACCCCGATACACTGGCTTTTTAAATTAAGAGCAGAAGAGAGATGCAATATAGATATGTATGTATTTTATAGTTATGTAATTACCTTTACTGGCGCTCTTTACTTTTTCATGTAGATTTGAGTTACCATCTGGGGTCACTTGCTTTCACCCCCAAAGAACTCTCTTTAGTATTTCTTATAAAGTGGGCCTGAGAGGGGCACTCGGCTGGCTCTTGATCTCGGGCTTGTGAGTTGGAGCCCCACACTAGGTGTAGAGATTATTTAATAATAGCACCTTTAAAAAATGATAATAATAAAGCTGGGCTTACTAGTCTATATCTTAGGTCATAAAACAACCTTAAGAAACAAGAGAGAAATGAAATTTTCTCTGACCATATGGAATTAAACTAGAAATCAATTCTAGACAGGTAAGAGCAACAACAACATCTTTCAAGCTCTTAGAAATTTCAGCAACAGATCTCTGTATAATCCATGGATCAAAGCAAAAACCTGAAAGCAAATTAGAAAATATTATGAATGAGTTGAAATGATACTACAATGTATCAATATCTGTGGGATGTAGCTAAAACAGTGCCAAAAAGAAAATGCCTGTTCGAGGTGTGTTTCCAAAATGGCGGCAGCGATGGATGTAGATACCCGGAGCGGCACCAACAGCGGCGCGGGCAAGAAGCGCTTTGAAGTGAAAAAGTGGAATGCAGTAGCCCTCTGGGCCTGGGATATTGTGGTTGATAACTGTGCCATCTGCGGGAACCACATTATGGATCTTTGCATAGAATGTCAAGCTAACCAGGCGTCTGCTACTTCTGAAGAGTGCGCTGTTGCGTGGGGAGTCTGTAGCCATGCCTTTCACTTCCACTGCATCTCTCGCTGGCTCAAAACACGGTGTCAAATAAAATCCAGTTGGATTCTAGATCAGATGCTGTCTCTTGTGTATGTGAAAAAAGTGAACCATAAAGATTGGAAAGTCAGCTTTGGAAAGTGAGATGTTTGTTCATCAGAGCAGAGTTGTCCTGTGAGTCTGTCGCATGGTCACCAGGCATCCCCGTCCACAGCCTGCTCACTGATGGCAGCCTTGGACACATCATCTCTCTCTTCCACCCTTTCCCTGTAGAATGGCTCCTAAGGACTAAACGGCGTCGTAGGCGCACAAAGAAGCTGCGTAAACTGTAAAACCACGATACAAATGTTAACTTTGACCGTGTATGACATGTTGCTTTCTCTTCTTAGTTTAGAAAAATAAACCTGAAAAAATCTAATATGTAATTTTAGCTGGCGAAAGAATAATTTATAGGCTCAAGTTGAAACTTGGTGTCACTTAAAATGGAACTGAAAAAGAGAATTCAAGTTGCCTCTATCACCACCATCTTTTGTAACTTGTTCACAATGTCTTAGCCACGGGGGTGCCTAACAGGCTGTCAATAGAGCATGCAACTCCATCTTTGGGTCATGAGTTCAAGCCCCATGTTGGGCAGAGATTACTTCAAAAAAAAAAAAGGCTGGCCATGGAAGGAATTGCCAGTTCTAAAACGAATTCAGTGGTGATAATGTAGTCTTTAGCTGAGAAAGTCAAGTTTACCGTAGTGGTTCTTAAACTAGAGTCTGAGGACTCCTGGGGGCCCCTGGACTCCTTGAGGAGATTCATGAAGTTCCTTTTCCACTACATGTCTGTATGAGGCCAGCTTTTCTTTCTTTCTTTTTTTTTTTTTTTTTACAAATAGTTTATTGTCAAATTAGTTTCCACATAACACTCAGTGCTCATCCCCACAAGTGTCCTCCTCCAAGCCCATCCCTCCTCCCCCCCACATCCATCAGTCCTCAGTTTTTGTCAGCATTCAAGAGTCTCTCATGGTTTGCCTCTCTCCCTTTCCCCCACCATTTCCCCCCTTCTCCTCCCCCTTGTTCCTCCGTCAAGTTCCTCCTAATCCTCCTATACGTGCAAACATATGATATTTGTCCTTCTCTGCCTGACTTATTTCGCTCAGCATAACACCCTCAAGGTCCATCCATGTTGCTACCCATGGCCAGATTTCATTGTTTCTCATTGCCATGTAGGATTCCATGGTATAGATAAACCACATCTTCTTGATCCATTCATCTGATGATGGACACTTAGGCTCTTTCCATGTTTTAGCTATTGTGGAGAGTGCTGCTATGAACATTGGGGTACATGTGCTCCTATGAGGCCAGCTTTTCCTTACCTACTTCAACCAAAGCAATACACTGAATGAAGAAGCAGGCATGAGAATCCAGCCATCTTCTATTAGATGTAAAGCACAAAAATGTGAAACTGTGCCACTCTTTAATTTTTTTGTTTTAAAAAATAGTGGCTTTTAATAAAAATATTTATGTTAAAAAAAAAGAAAATGCCTGTTCAAGTATTTTTTCAATTGACACTCTTGTTTTATTTATTTTAATTTTTAAAATGTTTTTATTTATTTATTTTGGGAGAGAGAGAGCAGGGGAAGGGCTGAGGGATAAAGAGAGAATCCCAAGCAGGCTCCTCACTGTCAGCACAGAGCCCAGTGTGGGGCTCGATCCCACAAACTGTGAGATAGTGACCTGAGCCGAAATCAAGAGTCAGACGCTTAACCAACTGAGCCACCCAGATGCACCTGCTTTTTTCTTTTCGTTGTTTGTAGGAATTCTTTATATATTTTGGAGAAAAGCAAGCCACTTGTCATTTATAGAATATACAAGTATCATTTTTCATTTTGTGCCTAGCTTTTAGTGTTTGACTAGAGTCTCTCCATAAACAGAGTTTCTCAAGTGTAATGTAGCCCAGTTTATCAACTTGTAACTTTATGGTTTATGGTTTGTGCGTTTTGATTTTTTTAAAAAGAAATCGTTGTTTTTGCAAAGGTCTTGAACATTTTCTCCTTTGCTTTCTTGCGGAACTTTTGCTGATCTACCATCCTCATTTAGATCCTTACCACATTTTGGCTAGTTTTCACCCTTTGCATCTCCATAGGAATATCATAATCAATGTGTCAATTTCTTTTTTTAAAAATTTTAAAGTTTTATTTAAAACATTTTTTAATATTTGTTTTTGAAAGAGAGAGGGAGCGAGAGCAAGAGCACAAGCAAGGGAGGCACAGAGAGAGAAAGGGACAGAGGATCCAAAGCAGGCTATGTGCTGACAGCAGAAACCCCAATGCAGGGCTCGAACTCACAAGCTGTGAGATCGTGGCCTGAGCTGAAGTGAGACACTTAACCGACTGAGCCCCTCAGGAGCCCCTCAGTGTGTCAATTTCTTAATGGAAAAAAACAACCTATTAGGATTTTTATTACTATTGCATTGTGTTGATGGATCAGTTTGGAGAGAATTGATATCTTTACCATACTGAGTCTAGTAGTCCATAAGTCTGGTATATCCTTCTATTTTTATGTCTTTTTAAAAATTTTTCTCAATATTTTGTAGTTTCCAGTATAAAGCCCTTGGGCATCTTTTGTTAAATTTATTCCTAATTAACTGATGTTATTTACTTATTTTTAAAAATTTTTAAATTTTTTTTTTAAGAGAGAGACAGAGAGACCAAGCAAGAGCAAGGGAAGTAGAGAGAAAGGGAGAGATACAGAATCTGAAACAGGCTCCAGGATCTGAGCTAGCTGTCAGCACAGAGCCCAACGAGCTCGAACTCGCGGACATGAGATCATGACCTGAGCTGAAGTCGGACGCTTAACGACTGAGCCACCCAGGTGCCCCTAATTGATGTTATTTAAGCTATTGTAAATGGTATCTTTAAAAACTTCATTCCTTATTTATTTGATGCTGGTATATGGAAGTACACTTGACTTTTTCATATGTACCTAGAGGTGTGCTAAATTTGCTTATTAATTCTAATAGATTTTCTGTAGATTCTTTTGGGTTTTTTGTGTGTAAAATCATGTAAATAATGAGTGTTTTATTTCTTCTTTTCCTACATTATGCTCTTTATTGCTTTTTCCTGCGTTATTGCACTGGATTCCATGTTTGGTATTGAATAGGAGTTATGATACCAGAATTATTTGTCTCTTCCTGATCTCAGGAGGAAAGTTTTCAATAATTCATCATTAAGCATGATGTTTGATATAGGTATTTAATTTTTTCTAGATACACTTTATAAGGTCAAGAGAGCTCCTTTCTGTTACGAATTTGCTACCAATATTTTTTTCTAATCATGAACGAATATTATATATATACTTTTTCAGACAAACAGGCAGAATCTTTATTTCCAACACACTCCCTGGACCTCTGTCAGAAGCACTGTAGGCAGAAGGCAGAGTAAGGCCTTCTCAAGCATTCCAGAATGCAGCAGAAACCCCACACCTGTCACTCTTCATGGCGCACCAGAGAGGGTGGGACACAGGATAGACAGGCCCACTTCTGTGGATTCAAGTCATGGCGGGGATGTTGAGCAGTTACGGAGGCTCCTCAGAGAAGGCACAGCCATCCTAGACATGCGTGTTTGGAGAACAGCTTGCTGGGGACGTCCTCAGGACCCTGTGTCTCAAGCCTTTCTTTAGGGTCAGAGGCCCCAGATGGAGCTAGGAGTGGGGCGCAGGCTGGTGAGTGCCCCTGGGGACTGGTGGCACCTCACTAGGACTCCAGGCTCATGGGGATCTAGCCAGTGTCAGGTGAGATCGGCAGCAAGCTGTCCTCGGTCCGCAGGAAGCACAGCTTGGTAAGCTCGTGCAAACCTGGTACCCACCACTTGACAATCTCAGCATAGCCGACAGCCTTGGCCAGGACCTGAGAGCACTACATGCCATGCTCTGCCACCCTCCAGTCGACCCAGCGCCAGCCCTAACAGGCTGTAGATATTGCTGCCATCTTGGACCTGCATCTCAGGATATCAGGACGTAGCTGGGGCATTGGGGAAGGTGCTGGGAGTTCCACAGAGCCAGGTTTCTGATAGTGTTCCGTTCTGCTTGCTGCCATAGCTGAATCTCTCTGGCTACTCCAGGGAAGTGTCAGATGAATGCTGGGCAACATGCCCCGGGCCACCCCACAACCCTGCCTCTTCAGGGCATGACCCTGCTCCTCATTCCAGACTTCCTAGGAACTGCACCATATCCCCTCACTCCCAGCTTCTCAGGACAGGTGCGATGCCTGCCTCACCTTGGGAAGGGGCTGTAAGGCATAAACCCCCCATTTCTCTGGACAGAGGCGTAACCCTTCCCCCACCCTGTTGTCCCTGAGACAGGACCAAATTCCTCAAACACTGGGCTCTTTTGGATGGAGCCAAGCACCTTCATCCCAGGATCCCTAAGACTGGGTCCAAGTTTCCTTCATCTGGAGTTCCTTGGGACAGCACCCATGCCCTTGATCCAGACCCCAAAGAATGACATTGAGCAACCTGAGGCCCCAGACTGTCCAAGGCACAGGGCCGTGTCCGAGCACTCATGCTCCCAGAGCTTCCTACCCTCCAAGATCCCTGAGACAGAGCCAAGAATCCTTATCCAAATGCTCCTCAAAGACAGAACTGACCGCCTCCCACATTCCAGGATCCCTGCGGTAGGGCTGTGAACTCTTTACCCCGAGATTTCCGGTGTTGATCCCCCCAACTCAGGTCACTCAGAAGCTCAGGAGTAGAGGCTTGATGCGGACGGACGGCTGCTTGGGCTACTCTTGATGTTAAGTACACGGCCCAGTCAGCCTTGCTGGTCTCCATCACCGCGGTCTGCCCCCTAGGTCTGCTGGCCACAGACGCCCACCCCACCCCTTGCTGGATTCAGGCTCTCACCACCGCAAGTCATGCACACCTCAAGCTTGATCTGGAGCCAAGATGGCACATGTGAATGTCATATTTTTAAAGATTTTTTTCTGCATCTATCAATATGATAAGATTTTTCAATCGTTTTCTGTTTATACAGTGACTATATTTATTGGTTTTAGAACTTTAGCTCTTATATTCCTAGATAGAGATCATTTGTTTCTGATGCAGTGTTCTTTATATATAGCTCTTGATTCATTTACTAATACTCTATTTAGAAGTTTCACAA